TGCCATCGCCAGGCTGCAGACCTGGCAGTCCCTTAGCCTCCCCTGCTTACTTCCCGTGGCACGTTACAGCTGCAGCTTTTTTGCCAAGAGGAGCGAGGAAGCATTCGCAGTGCCTGGTTTGTGGAGCAGGTGTCCAATTTAGGGGCACTGGCAGAACATTCATTGCATCTTTACTCACAACTGCAGGACACTTGACTACGGGGTGACCCTGGAGGACTGCTCCAATGTGAATACAAGTACGCACGATGACTGAAAAAGCAGCTGTAAGAGGGAACATGGGAATTAACCCAGGCTCTCAGCTGTACAGGCACAGATTTAAAGCACGCACAACCACTGGCTGGCCTCCAGGGCTTGCTTGCAGGCAGGCGGGGATTTGGGATGAGGGATGTGTAAGACAGCAGAGAAGGTGCGAGAGTGAAGGAGCCCCAAATCATCAAGCTCTGCATGCTGTAGGGGGGCGAGCATCTCTCCCAGCTCTCAGGGGCTCCTCCAAGCCCACGTTTCCAGTGGTCCCAGCACCGAACTCCCACAGCCCCTCTCTGCAGGTGCCCTGAAGCTAGGTGCCCCGTGAAGCTCCCAGTGCAGGGAGCCCGGGCCGGGGAGGCGCAGCCATGACACAGCAGCAGCCTCTGCTTTGGGTCAGGACCTCTTGGATGTGTGGCGTCAGCCTGAATCTCAAGGGCCGGTGGTCCCAAGGAAGGGAATGGGCACAAACAGCAAGAAGTATTGCATAGCCAGGTTTGTGCCTGGCACTGCTGCCCACGGGGGTCTCTGTCAGCTATCAGGATGAGCAAGCCGAACGTCTCAAGTTGGATCCTAAGTGTGAACATCCTAAGTGTGGAAAAGCACACCCACCTCATGGCAATGTGGGTGCTCAGCACCTGGCAGCATCCAGCCCCAGGGTCCCAGAATAACCTTTCCTGAGGGTAAGCGGCTCTGCTGTTGCTGGGGAAATGTTGGGCTCTGCAAAGCAACGGGGACAAGGGCTGTGCGGCCTCCGGCCCCGGAGAGAGGTGTGCAAGGGGCGCTGCTGTCAGACTCTCCTGGTGACCCTCTGCCTTTTGCACGTGGGGTCCAAACCGGCTTGCACGTGGAGCACAGGCCCCTCATCTTCCAGGTTTTACCCACGATGAAGGACCACTCTGGATGCCCTTCTAGCTGCTTTCTAGTTTGGAGATCACATTCAGGACATACTAATGCAAGAGGGAATGAGAAGGGAAAGGGAGGAGGAAGGATCAGTCCCTTGGAAGTTTGTTCCAGCAGAAGGGTGCAGGTGGCAGGGCCTGGTGCAGGGAGGGTTAGGGACAACCACAAGAGTGGAGTCTGCAGCAGGAACAGAAGGGGAATGGTTGAAAGTGCCTTGAAGAGAAATAGAGTGAAAACCCCAGCTCTGCTTGGTGACCTCTCAGAAAACACCCCCTGTGTAGTCCCCAGCCATGAGCTGCCACAGCTTGGGGCAGAGCCACTCACACAGGCATCAAAGGATGCCAAGGGATGCTGTGACTTGTAGGAGGAAGGCTGGCTGTCCTACATGCACCGTGTGCCTTGGGTGAAGCGGATTTGCTTCCAAGAGACTCCTCCCAGGAGCTGGGGTCCCTACAAAGCCCTAGCTCTGCCCCTCCTCACCTCTGGCATGCCTCTGGTAGGGGAAACCCCCACGAGTACCGCTGATGCCAGCAGGGCACAGGCTGTGCATGAGCTGCAGCCCAGCCTCTTCCAAAGGGCACCTGCGAGCCGAGGGCGACTATTCCGGGCCAGCGATGTGGCCACCAGCAGGACTTACCTATTGGTGTACGCAGAGGAGAGCCAAGGCATGGCTCTGCCTTGGGAGCTCCAGGTCCGAACTCCCAAACTGGGCTGTCTGCAGCGCAGCAGGGTGGTCCGGCTGGCACGGGGGAGGCACGCAGAGCTGCCAGCCGTCGAGACAGGGGCTGTCCACGCACACAACAGCTCCAACAAGAGCCAAAGGCAGGCACGTCCCACCTGCGTTAGAGCTCAGGGGATGCATCCATGCTGCCCTGCTACCACGACAGCTACGTGCACCTCTGCAGCTGCAGGCTTGCCTGCTGGCTGCAGGGCTGAGCGAGGGATGTGCTCCAAGTGCTGCTCCTCACCACTGTCCCCTGATCCTCTCCAGACAGCTCCCACCACCAGCACCCACACTTCTAAAGAGCTGGCTGTGCACCGCTTCCCGCCCTCCTGCCTCCTCTTCGCAACGGCGCCTTTGCCACCAGCTGGGCGGCAGGAAAACACCTTTCTGCAACTCTCACACCCTCCACAACAGACCTTAAATCAATAACCCCAGAACACAGGGCCAGGTTATTGCTAACGGAAACCATTAAACTGTAACACGGGGGGATACAGCCAGCCTCTAACACTTGAAAGATTTATAGGGCACAACAGCAGGGTGTTAATTCTTTTGGCAACACAAACGCTTTCACACCCCCTGCCTTTCCTCACCCGCAGGAACGAGGAGAGGGGACCATGTGCAGCCCAGCCCCAGGAGTGCAAGGACGCAGCCATGTTTGTGCTGCGGCCAGCAGCACACACATTTGGGGTGACGCCATGCTCGCAGGGCTGCCCAAACGCACACACCTTAAGTCCGTGGGGTAGCACATCCCCAGGGGTCGTTCTGCCAGGGGACTTCCCCCACGCCCAGCTCTGGCTTCCTGGTGACATTCCCAAATCCCGCCTGCCTCCACAGCTGCAGCAGAGGTTCAAAGAAAGGCTGCGAAGAAACTTTGAGACCAGCTAAAGCAGTTGGAGAAGGAAACCCAGCTTTTGGGCTCACGAGCCTTTCTTCAGACCTGAATCAGCCTACAGTTTGCAGGTATTTTTGCAGCTGGTTGAACAGGCGCTCTTCCCTGCAATGCTCTTGCTTGGATCCACACACCCCCAGCGCTGCTGTAGCAGCTCGGAGACTGGGGAGACGCTTGTCAGCACCCCCATCAGCCCAGCTACCCTGAGCAGGAGAGAGGCTGCACGTGTGCTGCAGCAAAAGTGGTTTGCACAGTCCCAGAAAGGGCTGCTCGAATCCTCCCCGAGTCCCTGCCGGGCACTGGCTTTCACCCCCTCCTGCCGAGCCAGCGTCTCTGGGAAGAGCTGCATTACTGATTAACAGCCCCCTGCCTGCCTCCCCCCGCCAGCCCACTCACACCTTCGCCTGCAGCCGCCTCCTTGGACCCTCCTTTGTGCAAAGTCCAGGGCCAGGCAGGAGAGGACAGGGTGGGAACTTGCCCCGGGGCTCACCTCGCTGGCAGCCTCACTGCACCCCACCGTACCCGGGGCACTGGGGAGGCCTCCCTGGGCCCAGCTATGGAGCGGCACGAGTCACCCAGCGTGCAGGCAGGGGCAGCAGCATCCCTCTCTGCCCAGGGCAGCGGAGGGGGCACAAGTGGGCTGCAGCCACTGCGCTATCCCAGACCGTAAGGTTGCTGCGGCACACCCCAGGCACACCCCCAGAGGGCCTCAGCAGCCGGAGCATGGTGCAAGTGGCAGCATCAGCACCAGCATGGCTGAACCCCCCGCTCTGTGTCACACCCGCTGGACACCCCACCGAGGGTTTATTGCTGCTGCTCCCCTCCCT